ACATTCTTCTCGATCCTTCAATAAACATTTATCTCAAAAGAAAAACGGTGGCTTTGTTACTTATTTTTAATTAAGCTATAACTAGTGTGAACACTTGCACATTCTGTCATAACAAAAGAACAGGAAGACCTGTTTATAATTGCAGTTCATTATATGATCAGTAGATAAAACACTTATTAACAAACCTAAATTAAACACAATCTGGACGCTAAGATTCCACTAAGGTCCCACTCCCACTGCAAGTTTAACTGGAGATCAATAAAGCTCCAAGTAGAACAAGGGGACCTGGGTAAAGTAAATAGGAATGAGGAGAAAACAGCCAGACTTGAAAGCTAAAGTTTGATAAACCCATTTTCCCAGGGGATGAAAATAAGGTATCCTTCGGTTAGGGAAGGTGGGTGCCAGAGACAAGTCTTCCCACTAGCTGCAAATGAGGTAACTTCCCAATGACCCTTCAAGCCTCAATAAACCGCAACGGGAAGATGTTTCCAAAAGCAGAAGAGACTAAGACCTGAGGGCACAGCCTTAGAGTAAAGGGAAGACCCTTTTGAACAGAGAGGAGGAGAAACTTCTTCAGCCAGACAGTGGTGAATCTATGGAATTCATTGCCACAGAAGGCAGTGGAGGCCAGGTCATTGAGTATATTTAAGACAGAGATGGATAGGTTCTTGATTATCAAAGGTTACAGGGAGAAAAAGTGAGAGTATAGGGTTGAGAAACTCATCAGCCATGATTGAATGGCAGAGCAGACTCAATGGGCCAAATGGCCTAATTTCTGCTCCAATGTCTCATGGTCCAGGACATTGTCAGAGATGATCAAGGAACCATTACATTTACAAATTTCAGTGCAATATTCCGTATGGAAGACAACTTAATGCAGAAATTTCATGAACCACCAGCAACTGAAAAATACAATTTCTTGATTCTGCAGTCTGCAACCACTGCCTAAAAACATGAAAGCTGTTGCAATATTTCAGACAAAGCTAATCCCTACCAAACCACCAATTTTGGTTCTCAGCAAATCAATCAACCTCTGATGCTGAGATAAATCTGAAATGAAGTTTCTTGGTACCCAGTGCACAACTAAAGCAGTCTCTTCTGAACATCTGTTGTAGTGTTTAACTGGAAAAGTGACTGCCACAGAGGGTGAAAATCCCAAATAAGAAATGTGCATGTGATTTGTCTTCTCATCCCAATAGCTATATAATGGACCTTCAGGGAAGCATGTGTGGCCCTATTCCATTTTTGTCTTCATTTGTAAGCTTATGATATCGATCAAAGTGGCATTATTCTCTTTGTTGAGGACTACCCCAAACAAAGTGATTGACTTCACATCTGGAAAACAAGCAAGTGAATCACTGCAAATACATATAAACAGAATTGAATAGTGGGTAGACAAATAGATTTTCCATTATAAGAAAGCAAGATAAATCAATAATTCTTTTGCAAAGGATTAAGCAGATGATGCTCACCCATTTTTAGGATTTCAAATTCTCCTCAGTTACAAAAGTTGCTTCACTGTTTGCTAAATGAATCTGATCCATGCTCTGATGAAATAGCAAAAGTTGTTGGAAAATAGTGGAAAAAGGAAAAGTCTCAAATTCCTATTTGTCATAGATAACAACTTCTATCTGACATAGCCTACAGCTTCCCAATCAGGTGGAACAATTCATAATCACATGAACTACTAGCCTTCATAATGTATTGACTATATTTCAAAGTCTGCTCTATACAATATCCAATTAGATGTAGTCAGGCAAACAATGCTTTACAAGGGTGTAAAAATATTCCCTTTGCCTTTTGTTCTATGACATAATTGTCATTCAATCTCTCTTGTTCTCTACCATATTCTAGACATTCCTTTTTGTTCTTCTTCCTCCTAACCTCTGTCAAAGGCCTAAAATTCATCACATTTGTACCTTTATCCAGCTGTGAAGAGTCATATTGACTTAAAACATTTATTCACAAATGCTACTAGAGCTGTTGAATATTTCCAGCGCTTTGTTTTCATTTCAGATATCCAGCATGTGAAGAACTTTACCTTTATACCTTGATAAGATACATCACAAGGGTTGTCAATTTTGAGACAGACAACAATGTTTACTGCTTGGAACATAAGGGGTGCAGTAATTTCACATCAAGGTACTATATGGAGTCAAAACTGCCTGAATGGCTGATAGAAGTAGAAATTCTTAAGGCGTCAGAAAGACATTTAGATATGTATTTGAAGTCCATTACACACAGATGATTACAAACCAAGCACCTGAAAATGGGATTGGAGAGATATTTCTTCGTCACAGTCAGTACTGCCAAGAGGCCTCCTCTGTGAAGCAAATCTACATTCTGATTTGACAAAAAATAAGATGACAAAGCTTCATATAAAAGCATCTATCTCTCCTGTCTAGGTTGTCAACTTATTAAGTAAAAATTCAAACATAATTAGTTCTTCATTAGAGTCAGAGTCCTCGAGTCACACAGCATAGAAAAGGTTCTTTGGCCCCTCAAGCCTGCACTGACAATAACTACTATTAAAGGCGCACTAATCCCAATTTCCTGCACATATCCCATATCTTTGAATGTTATGAAGTGCTCATTCAAAATTTTTTAGAAAGGTTGTAAGGTTTCCGGCCTCCACAACCTTCCCAGACAGTGCATTCCAGATTCCCATCACCCTCTGAGTGAAAAATGTTTTTTTTCCTCAAATTCCCTTTGAATCTCTTACCCCTTACCTAAAACTACATAACCTCTTGATTGACACCCTCAACCAAAGGGACCAGCTGCTTCCTTCTCACCCTATCCATATCCCTCAAAATCTTATATGCTTCAGTCATGTCCCCCTTAACTTTCTCTGCTCTAAATAAAACAATCCAACGCATCTAGTCTCTCCTTATAGCTCAATTGCTCCATCCCAGGCAACATCCTGGTGAACCTCTTCTGTACCCCTTCTCACACTATCACATCCTTCCTGTAAAGAGGTGACCAGAACTGCACACTGTACTCCAGATGTGGTCTAACCAACATTTTGCATAACTCCAACGTTACCTCTTTGTTCTTATATACTATGCCATGACTGATGAAAGCAAGTGTCCCATTTGCCTTCATAACTATCCTTCACATATTTTGCTAACTTAAGGAATCTGTGAATAATTACTCCAAGATCCCTCTATTCTTCTGATCTACCCAGTGTCCTAGTATTCATTAAAAAGTCCCTCATTTTGTTTCTTTTTCCAAAGTGCATCGCCTCGCACCAATCAGGGTTAAATATCATTGTCGATTAAAAGTTGCTACAGCACACATTCTGCTATGAAAAATCTGCTACTCAATATATCCCAAGAAAACAATGGAAAAGGAGAAGGCCAGAGACTGGGACACTGAGTCAGAGGATCACAGAATGGTGCAACAAGTTCTCATTCAAAAGGTATTCAATCTCATCCCCAAAATATTTCTTAGAAACCCCTCTAATTCTCACGGCAAGATGTGAATTTGAGCAATCGTGTCCTCCATTACTTCAACTAATAGCTATATGGCGCACTGCAAGAATGTGTACTCAGCCCCCTACCGTACTCCCTGTACATTCACAAGTGTAGCCAAATTTCATACGAACGCCATCTACAAGTTTGTTGACGAAACCACTGTTGTAGGCCAGATATTAAACAATGAAGAGTCAGAATACAAGAAGGGAATAGAGTGCTTGGTGTCATAACAATCTCTCTCTCATTGTGAGCAAAACAAAAAAAAAGATCATTGACTTCTGGAAGAAAGGAGGAAGACACTCCTATCTATATCAACACAGAGCTGAGGTAGAGGGAGTCGACAGCATCATGTTCCTAGGAGTGACGATAACCAACAATCTGTTCTGGACCTCCCACATAGATGCAACCGTCAAGAAGGCACAACAAACCTCTTTTTCTTCAGGAGGCTTAGGAAGTTCAACATATTCATAAAGACCCACACCAACCTTTACAGATAGAATGCTTTCTGCAGTGTATCTGCATGCATAATGGCCAGGTACAGAAATTGCTGTGCCCAGGACTGTAAATAAACTACAGAAAGTTGCCTGCATAGCCCAGTCCATCACAGAAGCCAACCTCTCATCCAAAGACTCCATTTGCACTTCTCGTTGCCACGGAAAGGCTGCCAACATCATCAGAGACCTCTCCCAAGCTGGTAATACTCTCTTCCAACCTCTTCCATCAGGCAGAAGATACAGAAGCTTGAACCTGCTGATATGTGTGTGTGGTCAAGAACAGCTTCTTCCCTGCTGTTATTAGACTGCTGAATGGACCTCTCTAATTTCAAATCTAATACTGACCTCACTTTGTGTATGTCTTCTATGTATGCCTCGCTCTGTCTAAGCACCCTATGATCTGCAAGTCCTTGTTTGTTATGATCTGCCTGTACTGCTTGGAAAACAAAACTTTTCATTGTACTTAGGTGCATGTGACAACAAAAAAATCAACTGTTTGTGGGAGCTGAGAGAGAACTGGCCATCGCATTTCATATTGATATATATGACAATAGTAACTGTACTACATTGGCTGCAAACATTTTGTGTCATGTCTGGAGGTGTGAAAGGTGTTTTATGAAACAAATCTTAGTATCCTGTCTTGCCATATTATGCTGATAAATATGCACTTTATAAAGACTAAATAGTGGAACTAAATTTATTCACCTAGTTTATATCATTAGCACGTCTTTGGCCACAATACTTGCCTTTAATGTTAATATAATTAGGTGTAACTGCTGAACATGCAAGGCTCCAATTTAATATTAGGAGTTTCCATGATTATGTTACAAATATGAAGTGTACAATATTATTACGTTTTGGGCCTCGCTCTTTAAAACAGGGTTAAACAGGAATGAGTGAGTTAATTGGACCTGTTCTTAATCCTGTCTGACAACAAGCTTGGTTAATAAAAAGATAAAGGGGATCTAGATTGTCTAATTGCGAATAAATCCAAGATATTCACGCAATTCCAACATGGAAGTCAAAGGTAATACCTGGCAACTCCAGCTCTCTTTTTGCTCTTCCAAACCTTCCACAGCATCCAATGTCTCAGGGCAGACTCCATGGCAGAAACCAGCTGCGATCCATCTACGGAGGTTGAAATCGGACATATATCAGCCTCACCAAGCCATGGAAATCTCAGACCCACTTAGAATACAGTTAGTTAATCACTTCAATGCTACATTTTGGAGCACACAAATACACTTTATTGAATGCTTTTTCAAGAGTACTTTGAATGCAGGATCAGGTACTCATCTCGTGTATTGGAGAAGGGTGCTCCTCAGGGCTCTTTTCTGTGTACAGACACAAAGCCAGGCAGTTCGTCATGGCTGTCATCATTGTCAGCCAAGAGGGTAGACATGTTGCTGTACACACCGCTACACACCGACAGAATGTGCCAGCAACTTATGCAGCAAACACACTGAATGTGCTTCAACCAAATGGCCATGTCTCAAAAATCTAACGGGAACAAGCCTACAGTCAAGTCAAAGAGGATTATTGTCAGTCGGAGAATCCTGCCAGAGTCAGTCAGGGGTAATGCTTCATCTCAGTCCAGGAGTTTGAATGTAGGCAATCCAGCTTCACACAACTATGAGGGAAAGGAATTTGCAATAAAACAAGTTATTGGTCTTCTCAACATTTAATTGAGGAAATTTTTGTTCATTCCCTGTCAAAAACTCAATTATTTAGATTTAAAAGTGGAAGACATAATTGCCAATAATTGGCCAGTGAGATAGAAAAGATGGCTGTCAACTGCAGGGCAAACTAAGTGGCTTGTTAGAGTAAGCAAATAAGTGGCAAAGGGAATTCAATCAAGAGAAGTGCGAAGTTATGCATTTGGGAGGGCAAACAAACGCAGGAATAACATACAATGAACAAGACAGCACCGAGCTGGGTAAAGGAAGTGAGAGGCATGGAGAAAAAAGTTCAAACTTGGACTGATGGCACACAATCACCCAGTGATTTATACCCTTTGTTGTACCAGCAGCAGAATAAATAAAATTATGTTAAATAGTAATTATCTGGTTTTATTTACACGTAAAGCAGGCAATTAAAGTTTGGTAGCTTTCATTCAATAGCATACACTCAGATTGCATCAGAATCATCTCATTGCCCCATAAATTACAGTTTCACAACACATTATACAACACAATAAAAAATTTCAAAATAATGGACATTGAATCTATGTTCAAGTAATAACAAGCCATTTCAGAAAAGCCATTACAAACCTACTTACAACAGGCTTCAAAAATCTCAAAATTCTGATTTACACTAAAATTGTGTTTTGTAGACAAATGTTCATAGTGTAGAGAAATTTATTCCAATACTTTTATAAAACTTTCAGGGGACAACATTTAAAAAGCTCCTCTTCTTGCGATCCACTACCAACCTGATTTGCCCACCTGCATATTGAAATCCCCCATAATCACTGCAACCTTGCCTTTCCTACACGCCTTATCTATCTCCTGGTGTATCTTGTGCCCCAAATCCTGACGACTGTTTGGATGCCTGTACATAACTCTCATTATGTTTTGTTTTGCCTTTGTGGTTCATCAACATGGGGTAGCTGCAAATATCTTAGCTTGGGCCCCTGCTGTTCACATTAAATAGCAATAGCCTGATTGAGGGAGTAGTATGAAACATTTTTAAGTCTTCTGATGATACAAATCTAGTGGAATTGAGAATGGTGAGGAGACTTTAAAGTTGAGTGAGACATGTTGAGTGAATAGGCAAATGCAGTCTAATAATCATGAAATTGTACGCTTCGGTAGGAAAAACAAAATGGTGAGTATTATTTAAATTGTGATAGCTTGGGAAATGTTGACGTACAAAGTAACCTGACCGTGTACACGGGTCACTGAAAGCAGGCATGGAGGTGCAGCAAGCAGTTAGGAAGGCAAACAGCATGTTAACCTTCACTGAAAAAGGATAAAGTGCAGGAAAAAGGATGTCTTACTACAGATCTAGAGGATTGTGGTGAGTCCACAACTGGAGTACTGCGTCCAGTTTTGGTCATCTTATGTAAGAAAATGATTACTGGCCAGGTAAACCATTGAAGATTCACTCAGCTCACTCCTGGGATAACAGGTTTGTCATATGAGGAGGCCCAGGTTCACCAAGCCTGTAAACCACTGGAGGTTAGAAGAATGAGAAGGTGTCTCATGTATACATTTCTAGAAGACTGGACAGACTGTTTGTAGGGGTTACGTTTTCCTCTGTCTCAGCAGACCAAAACAAAATCACAATCTTGGGATACTGGGTAGGCACTTTCAAAATGAGACAAAGAGAAATTTCTTGACTTAGATGGCAGCAAACATGTAGCATTCTCAACTACAGAAGGCTGTGGACAACTTCTGGAGGCTAAAGTTGTTGAAGGGCATGGGAAGAGAGCAGGAATATGAAATTGAGATAGTGGGTCAACAATGATCATATTGAACGGCAGAATGGATTCAATGACTCAAATGGCCTACTCCTCCTCCTATGTCCAATATTTCTATTTTTTTCTTTTGTGTAATAAACTTAGTTTTAATATGCAGCTTCATGTGAATATTTTTCAGTCACTAACCATCATGGTAAACAACTGCAAAAATTAAACTTATGTTTTACTATGTCAGGTTGTGGGATCCAACTTGGCTATTGTTACATTGATAGGATCATAACATCACCAAGAGAAATAGTGGGCTGGGTTCCAAACATCTTACCAGATGTCCCCTTTGGTTTGCAGGAGAAAGTGAACAACTTGAAGTCAAGCATAGCTGCACCAGCAATTGCAGAACAGAGGGAGAGAAAAGACAATTCATCCTTCTCTGTATCACCTGCACCAGGAGCTCCAGTGCCATGCCAGAGAACTTGCGTATCCTCTCTTTATCTCTAAGCCACTATGAAACCTGTGGTGTCAGCCAGTGCATTGGGCATCTTCAGTTAATAATCACATATAAATCTATAGACTACACTCCTTGAAAATTACTTCTAATCAGTGCTCGAGTTCCAAACCTACAAGATTCTAATTCAATTCTTCCAAATAAATTCAAATTTGGCAATCAGCAATTAACACAAATTACATCCTAAAACCTAACTTTCAAACAGATTTCTTTCAACAATACTGTGCCCATTTATCACATGTTCAATTCTCTTCACAAATGAATGGTTTCTTTGCTGCAATGATGAGCATTCTGGATTCCGAATCCTGTGATGAGTTCAAATCTTCTCTCCATTCTTCCAAAACGTGACTTTCAAATATAGGGCTTTTGTGGTGCAGTGGTGGTGTCCCTATCTCTTGAGTAGAAACCATTTTCAAATCCCACCTACTCCAAAGGTTTATCATGTCACATCTGAATGGATAGTGTTAATCAATCTACATCCCTTTGTGAAAATAACCCCAAAAATCTCCGGAGCACAAAATCTGGATATGGCTGGGAAATGTCAAACCACGCCCAGCTAGTTGCAGAAAAGGACATCGTGCACATGGAATGGATGATTTAATATGATTTACACATCAAATAAATACTAGCCGGTCTCACTGAAAAACCTGACAGATTACACTCAGTGTGGGGCATCCTCTACCAAATGCCATTTGAGCAGAGCCTGTAGCACAACTAGATATCAATATCTTGCCCTAATAAAAGTTAGGTAACAACAGGTTGACCTGCTTTTCATTCATTGTTAAATCCAGCATGCAGCCTGCTTGTCACATGCACATCCACTGCAACTCTATCTGTGGTACGCCCAGCAGAAGACTAATTAGACCCTTAGGTTGGCAGGTAAATTCTCACTTAAGGGCTTCAACCTGCCACAATCAGGACTTTACCAGTGGCAGAAGACACACACGTCAAGCAGTCAGTCTAACAGCCCTCTCTTAAAAACCAAAAGAACTGTGGATGCTGTAAATCAGGAACAAAAACAAAGTTGCTGGAAAAGCTCAGCAGGTCTGGCAGCATCTGTGAAGGAGAGAACAGAGTTAACGTTTCGGGTCCGGTGACCCTTCCTCAGTACCCTTCTGTACCCTCAGTACCCTCCATCGAAGGGTCTACCTCATGCCCAATCCTCTTCCAACTAGGATGCCTTTCCCTCCCAATGGCAGCTGTATGCAAGCTTCCTATCTCATTTACTGGGCCTGCCAGTTTGGTGCATAGTATGGCGTCTAAATACAGAATCAAACCTTAATCCAATGCTGCTTTCCTCCATACAAAAGGTTTTGGAAGACTGTCGGCTTCTAATTGATTTGCAGTTCTCTAAAGTAGGACCTCCTGTCCCTCGGGGTGAAAATTCAGTCACCAGTCTGTTAACAACTAGTTAGCCATTGAATGCTTGCAGAGCAATCAGTCTTCCTCTGGGCAAAATCCCTTAGTTCATTAAGTCGGAAAATTATTTAAAAGGAAGAATAAAATGCAGTATTTCTTTAACAGACGTTATCCCTCCTGCGACAACAAGGTGCAGGGCTGG